GGTGCATTCCTGTTGCGTTAACAACAGCAGTTCAAAGTAGATGCAGTCCAAATTTCAACATGTTATAGATGTTTATGTATCAGATTCAGAATCGACGGATATGTATCCTAAATATTTATGGATCGGCATCGGCCCACAATTCCCATATCGGTGCAGCCTTAATAGTTATGAATAGCAGGGATGGGACATTGCTGTCGTAAAGAGTCTCCAAAATGGGAACTTTTCCAGGAGGAGAAAATGTTGAAAGCTTTAGTGCATGTTTGGTGTCGCAGGTCATTTCAGTTTCTATTGGTCCATTCATTGTGAAACGTTCCGACAATATAAGGAGCAGCTGGTGTTTTCAAATGAAAACGAGGTAACGAGGTTTCGATCTGACACTGACACACTTTGTAAGACTTCGCTCAGTTCGGCTTTCTCTCACGCTGTGTGGTGTTTGCCGGGGAAATTCTGCGTGCTTTCTTGCTTCGCTTCAGAGCTATTTTGAGAATCTGTCTCCAATCACAACAGCGTTAATCTTCCCAATTAGGCGCCGGGCGCTCCTCTAGCTCGACTCCGTGGTGACCGGGGTGGGTGTGCATGCGTGAGTGTGTGTGTGTGTGTGTTCAGAGCGTGACTGCTGTGACCTCTTCTTGCACCGAAACGCAATCTCCCAGTGGAGGGAGGGAGGAAGGAGGGGTGAAGGCCATCTGAAGTCTGGACTCTTGCTCGCTTGCTTCTTTTTTTTCCCTCTCTCTCTTTCTCTTTCTCATGCGCTCTCTCTCTCTTCTCTCTCGCTTTCTCTTTCTCTGCCGTTTCCCCTTCGTCGTGCATACATTCTGTCTTCCTTTTCACTCTCTCTTGCTCTTTCTCTCTCTGCCTCTCCCATTTCCCCCTGCGGAGCAAAATGTCTCCCTCGTGAAGGAGATTCTTTAAATGACTCACGCAGTAACGGCCCACGTTTATTAATACACACGTGCAGGCACGAACGTGCACTCGCACGCACGCACGCATGCACGGACTTGAAAAATGCTTACGAGGCTGTAAATCATCCACGTTCCTCTCCCTGACCCTTCCCAATATGGACTTATGCCACCCACTGTTTTCTACGCATTTCTGACGCGCCGGTTTTCCAGCAAACTTCGTTAGGTCGCTCGTTCTTGGACTAAGCTGAAGTAAATTGCTTTGTCATTACAGGAAAAGCATCTGGTGCCGCAAGAAGGTCACGGCTGACTTTAATCAAACTCAAGTGGGTGATTTTCATCAATCTGTCTCACAAAAGGACAAATTAAAACTCCAATTCAGGGTCCCAGGTCCATTTTATGGTAGTTTAGAAGACTGTGACCTCCGATGAGGTGATACAAAAAAAAATAGCTAGTGGAATTGTACTGTTTAAGCTGCTGAAAGAACAGACTGTGTTACGTAAACATTTTGTTGCTAGCATTGGTCCAAGTATCCTTCCATGTGGAAGTAGGGGTGGAACTGTGAATGGACACTGTGTGGAAACCACGAAATATACTTAATGTCATAAAATAGCATAACGTAGAAAGTTTTAACGCAATGTCAAAATGAAATGTTAAGCTACTTAGTGCGACAATAAAGAAAAGTGTAGAAAGTACAGCCGGAATAATCAGTTTGAATAGTGTCCAGGGTTTGCTTCGAATTTTGACCAAATATTGTATGTCGTCAGGGTACTTTTGTCTACTTTGTAGTGAATGCTATGGTCCTGGGCATGCTAATCTTTCAGTAGTCCTATTTTGACTGTTGAGAGTAGAAGTGTTGCACATGCAGTTACTAAGAATTGTTGGGACTCCACGCTAACTGCTGTCCCAGAAGGACCAAAAATAACTAATATTGTACAGTATGCTTTACTGTAAATTAGCTATGCTTACTATACCTGGCGTTCCTAGCTAAACTTGGCTACCTAGCCAGCGTAACTGGTCATAGCTTATTTGCATGTTCTGACTGGAGCTTGGAAAAGATTAAAATAAATGTCTCTGCATTGTCAGACGTCCACCATTGTCAGCGATGTATGGGTAGATGTTTGCATAACTGCAAAACCAGAGATTAGCAATGGAAGCATGTTTGCACCGTCTTCTGGATGTGGAACAATTTCCACTGTGGAAATCTGATGGATAGCTTTTTAGATGATGGCTTGACAAATGGAACAAAACAACTTGACCGAGTTCGGTAAATGCCACCCTGTCAGGTCTATGGTTTCCTGATTTGCTGGAAAATTACCAACTTTTTGGTATTTTGTGGGAAAAAAATTGGAAAAAACACTCCCTGTTCCCTGGATTACGGGGCTTCTTCCAGTTGGGATGCAGCATGTCCAGACAGCGCTGTCTGGAATTGACGTTATTCTAGCCAGTGCTAAGAAGGAGTTTTGTGATGGATAACTGCAAACCTGGTGTCAGACTAGCAATAAAACCTGGCTAGCTTTGGTTCCTCAGCACCATCTGGATGTGGAGCGGTTTCCACTGTGGAACTGAGTGGTGAATTTGATGGATAGCTTTCGACATGATGACTGGAATAGAAAAAAAGGCTTCACTGGTAAATTGGGCACTGTCACGCCTCTCTATGGCTTTTTAGATTCGCTAGGAAATGGTGGCTTTTTGGTATTTTGTTTGGTAAAACACTCCCACTTCCCCGAATTGCCGGAGCTGGTTCCAGTTTTAGGGATGCAGCATGTCCAGACGGCGCTGTCTGGAATCGACGTAAAAAGGTTGCGTTATTCTGGCTAGCGCTAAGAATGAGTTTTGTGTTTGCGCGGCCAGATTTTGAGAAGTGGAAGTGTTCTCCCGGAGCGACGCCTCATACTGAGCGCAACCTTCGCTGTCTCTGAGCGGTGGCTGTTATGGCGCTGCGCTCTGTATGTGTGTGCGTGTGTGTGTTGACAGCTGCTTTGCTGTGGAACTCCTCTGGGGTGGGCGGACTCCCAGCCCTCGCTCTGCTCGCATGATCTCACTGGCCCACTGCCAGACACACACATGCGCGCGTACAGCGCACACACATTTTCCATTCGCCCTCTTTTCTTCCGCCCTGCTGGTCTCCATAGATAGTGAACGTGAGAGCGAGCGAGTGTGTGTGCGTGTGTGTGTTTCCTGTTTAGCTTTCCCTGGCAGAGCGCGCTCGCTGATGGAGGAACGTCCGCCGGTCTGTGGCTTTCCATTCGCCACACGTACGCGCACACACACACACACATCGAGACAGCGGGGAGTGCCTTTTTTAAACTGTTTACGTCCTTACCTGGCTCTGCGTGCGCGCACATGCGCCATGCTGGTAATGGCCATCGCGTGTTTGTCCTCCGTCCCCGCTCTTGTTTGCCACGTGAATATAAATGACTTTGTGTGTTTGTGTGCAGGTCGCCAAACGCTCTCCATCGGACTGTATCGGACCCTCTCCGGTCAGGCCCCGCCCCTCCTCCCCCTTGTCTCCCGCTGATCCGCCCTCGCCCCCTCTCCAGCCCGCAGCTGTGGCGCCCGTTGCCGTGGCGACCCCGGTGCCCGCCCCGGTGCCCTCGGAGCCGCCGGCCAGCCGCCCCATGCCCCCTGAGGCCCGCCGGCTCATCGTCAACAAAAACGCCGGTGAGACTCTGCTGCAGAGGGCCGCGCGCCTGGGCTACGAGGTAAGCCGCTTTGGGTTTGTGTGTGTTTGTGATTTTGTATTCGCTGCTTTGTGGGGACTGTGTGTGTATTGCTTTGCAGGTATGTTTGTTTTTCGTCCTTAATGGGGACCAAATACATGTGTTGGCTTTGCGTGGACCACGTGTTTGTATTTAGCCATTTGTGGGGACCACGAAGGCTATGTTTTTGTATTAAGTGAGAACCCAATGTGTGTGTAGTGCTTTATGGGGACCGAACACGTTTGTGTTTCGTCTCGTATGTAGTGCTTTACGAGGAAGAAATACGTGTGTGAGTATGTGTTCAGCGCTTTATGAGGACCAAACGTCATCTGGGTGAAAAGAATGAACATTTTGACAAAGTGGGGACATTTGGGTGGTCCCCATTAGGACTTGCCTTTTTTATGCGAAAACTTTTATTAGAAAAATAAAACAGGGCAAATCAGACGGCTGGCCTTTTTGGTCGCTGAGGTTACGGTTAGGGTTGGTTTTGGTGGAGCACAGCAGCATTCGCCGACTCTCGCGCAGAAAGACATGGGAACGGCCTACAAAGATCTGAATACGTGTGTGTGTGTGTGTGTGTGTGTGTTTTTCTCCTCGCGCTGCCTCGCTTCCTTGTAGTCCCCCCTTCCCTCCTCCCTGTGTGCTTCTGTCTGCCTCTCTCTCTCTCTCTCTCTCTCTCTCTCTCTCTCTCTCTCTCTCTGCGGCTGGCTGCCTCCTCTCGCGCTCCGTTCGCATCTCATTAATTCTGCGTGAGACGGAGTGTGACATGTGAGAGCCCCTGACAGGCACGGAGCGATCGCTTAGCGCTCGCGCGCGCACACACACGCACGCACTCTTTTTTTTTCCCTCCCTCTCTCTCTCTCTCTCCCCCTCCCTCTCCCCCCTCCTCCTCCTCCTCCTCTGTCGTGCACACCGCCTCTCCCTCCCTTTCCTTTTTATATCGCGCTGTCTCGTCTCTCCCTCGCGCTCGCTCTCTCTCCCTCTACCCTTTTCGCTTTTCGCGCGCACACACATAAACACGCGCACACTTTCACTAGCGCACACACATAACGTCCGCACGCTCTCCCGCTCTCGCTCGCTCTCACTCTCTCACTCTCTCTCTCTCTCTCTCTGGCTCGTGTTTTTTTGACCTCGCTCTTTCTCTCCCACTCGCACGCCGGAAATCTTTAACCCTTTCCTGCCTCGCGCTCGGGCTCGCGGCGCTCTTCGTTTGAAATCTGACTCAGAGAGAGAGAGAGGTGGGGGGATTCGGGTGGGCTCCGCTGGTTCCGGACACATGTAACCCTTCGGAGGCGCAGTTCTAGACTCGCGCTAACAAAAACCCGGATGAAACTGTAAATGAATAATTTCTTACTCTAAGCTTGAACCAAGCAGAGAAAGTGCAGGTTCTAAACTGTCGATTGACGGCATACACAATTAAAAAGGTTCTCCATGTAGAACCGTGAACACTGAAGGAACCCTTTGCATGCTTAAATGGTTCTCTGCACAGTGAAATGGTTCCTCAGATTGATGAAGAATTTCACCATGCAAAGAATCATTTAATCATACGAAGGGTTCATTGTGTTCATGGTTCTACATAGAACCCTATTTAAAACGGTTCTGTAAAAAAACCATATACAACACCTCTGTCAATCTGAAGAACCATTTAATCACACAAAGGGTTCTTTGAGTGTTCATGGTTCTCTGCATGGTGAAATGCTGAGAACATGTATATGGTTTTAACAGTGTTCTATTATCATAGGCTTGACATCATAACAATAACAGAACCCTTTTTGGTGCTGTATAGAACCATAGAACCATCTTGTATGCTCTTAAATATGGTTCTCCAAGGATTCTGTAGTAAAGACAGTGGTTCTCAAAGAACCATTTGCATGCTTAAATGGTTGTTTGCATAGTGAAATGGTTCTTCAGATTGCATATAGTTTTAGAAAGCACCAATAAGGGTTCTGTTGATACAAGCTTGACATCATAACTATAGCAGAACCCGTTTTGGTACTATATTGAACCTTTGTCCTTCAATCTGAAGAACCGTTTCACCATGGAAAGAACCCTTTAATCATGCAAAGGGTGTTTTGAGTGTTCATGGTTCTGAACAGAACCCTTTTCTAAAAGGTTCTATATAGAACCATATACAACACATTCTCCATCAGTTTGAACAATTTGGCTATGCAAAAAAGCCTTTAATCATACAAAGGGTTCTTTGTGTGTTCATGGTTCTACATAGAACCCTGTTCAAAAAGCTTCTATATAGAGCCATATACAACATGTCCTCCCTCAATCTGAAGAACTCTCGTTAATCATAAGAGAGTTTTGTATAGAACCATTTTCTTTGTGAAAGAACACTTTTGTATGTTTTTTTTTGTTTATTTTTGATATGAAGTTAAAATCAGAACCTCGGTTCGTACCCGTCGGAACGGTAGGGGTGGCCAATATATTGATATTTATCGTTATCGCCACAGTATGCCTACATATCGCCGCGACAAAACCTTGTATCTCCATTATTGCTGTTTTACTTTTTTGCTTTATTTGATAACTTCAGTTACTCTTCGCATTGTGTAAACATTTCATGATGAACGGACCAACGAAAAATCTTCGAAATGATTACGAAAAAAATCATGTTACAAACAACATCAACATGGCTAACCACAAAGCTAGCTAGGCGAAGAGCATAATTCAGCCTCATTGCATCTAATCTAATCCAACACTGGCCATGTTTACAGATTTTTGCCAATCCGATGATCTGAGGTGTTTATATGTGCGCTCTACTCAACAATCGGACGAAAATCTCCATTTACGGCAAACAGTACAAGCAATCAGATCCAAAATTATGCGCATGTGTAGAAAACCTCTTGGTGTACACGTTACTATGACAACTTACTTTTCACGTACTGCCTAAATTAGGCAGGGAATGTGGTACTTATTATTTTAAGTCTTTTAAAATTTGAATCGTGAACTTCGTCTCCTCCCACCATGTTGAACGTTATAAACTTTCGCTATGATGTGACACACTGATCAGAACGTACTTAAACTTTCCGATAGGGAATGTAATCAGATACAGGCGTTTACAGAGATATTATTCTTATATTCAACAGATAATGGATTATCAGGCTATGTGTAATCATGGCTAGCGTGACTTTTTTATACCCAGTGATGGTTATAGCACGCTCAAAATTTACATTTTCGTAATGTGACAAAACCTCAGTGCTCCGAAGCTTCGGATTAGGTTAAATGGGAATTTTACCAGTGTAAAGTTTTTCCAGGTTGCTAGAGAAGAATGCCTTTGTGGGTGGAGCCACCTGTTTGCGTACAATTATGAATGATGTTTTGGATTTTCCGTAGCTTGTGTGAATTGTTCTCTATTATAGAAACTGTGTCGTAGAGTTGTTCGAATTCTCTACGATTAATTTCAATGTTCCGCAGTCATTCCCCAGTCAGTTTTCCCGCTAGCGAACACTGGAGTGAGTGTTAATTGAGTTACCAAGTGTAGTGTAGTCTAGTACAGAAGTCTTCAAATCCAAAAGGTACTAGATTAGAAGGCTTCAAATCTGGAACCGGAAATCAGTTTCCGATCTTGGATTTTTGCAGACCTAGATCTCAAATCCGGTTCCGTATTTGAAGACTTCTTGTCTAGTAGCTTTTGCAGGGTTTTCCAAAGTTGTGGAACGGCAAAGCCGCGCCCACGTTTCATAGACATTCCGTAGACGCGACCCGACGTTCCGTAGTTGTGGAATTGCCGCGCGACGGCGTTCCGTGCCTAATTTAGGCAGATTAATGGGGAGCTGGATTAGTTCCGGCAGCGAGGCTGAAAGGACTGGCACAGAGCGCAGGAAATGAGCGATTACTGCAGCGAGCGCATGATCGCTCGCGCTCTATCTCTGCCCCTCTCTCTCTCACTCTCT